TGAACCTGGAAACCCCAGTGTGCTGCAAGAAGGTGTCTCTTTGCCTCCTGTGAACTCACATCCATCCACCCACACCTCAGAACCAACTGGAGGCCTGTCCCCATGCTTTCCAGTTTCACTGGGAGGCAGGGGGATTGCAGAGAGGTGAACTGACCCTGAGGGAGGTGGCCCAGGGAGATGCCCTCCTGGGTCCAGCCCACTCCGGGTCTGCCAGAGTGCACTGGTCCTCACAGGAGCCCAAGCCCCAGTTCATCTGTGCCCCTGTCCAGATGGGAGAAGGTAAGGCCAGATAAGTTTTCAGAAGCTTAGTCATGGAGGGGTCTTGGGATTGGGCTACAGCTTGCAATGCTGGCAGGCAGGAAAGTTGGTAGACCTCTGGAGCATAGCCTGCAGACTGTGCTTGGCTTTCTGCCCTACAGAGCAGTTTTCCTCCATGGGGGTGAATTATGCAGTGACTTCAATGTCAGCCTTGTTAGCCTTCTGGCCCAGTCCTTGTAGGCTGAGCCTGAGGACTCGACTGCCTTCATGCTAGCCCTGGGGGCTGTTTGGACTCTGCTTGGATTTTCTTTCTGCGGGGGGGGGGGGGGGGCAGTGGGGGGAATGGGGGGGGGGGTGCGGCAGCAGGGGGCCCTGAATTACCTTCTCAGCTCAGGGCCGGGTGTTTGTTCAGATGTTGCTTCTGTCTCTGGTCTCATCTCCACCCGCTCTGTGTTCCTGGTGGCCCTGGCTGCTTTGTGCTGTTTGTCTATTTCCTGGATATTTGTCAGACCATGGAGTTCTTGTTTTTGAAAAGTCCTGAAGCAGCTATTTCTTTTAGTTTTCCCCACGAATTGTCAGATGATTCTAGTTTCCGAAAATGACTGGTATGTGTGTTATGTCCCTCTTCCCTTCCTCACCGCCCCGGGACCTGAGGTGGCAGCACTCACACAGGGCTCACCAGAGGCTGAGTTCGCACATTTGTTACTGCGGTGCTTAGTGGTGGACGCACTCCTTTGTTGCGTGCTCATACACAGAGGCTGCATTGCATCCGGGACCCAGTGGCAGTGTCTGGCATAAAAGCATAGTGGCTGAGACCTTTCTTGGTGCACGTGGCAGCCCCTGGCTGGGCAAGGTAGTCCGGGCAACCCTTACTAGCTGGTCCGCCAGAGGGCGCCTGCTCCATGCTGGGGACCTGCCCCACCTCCCAAGTCTGCAATTTGCTGGAACTTCTCCACCTTCCTTCTGGGATCTGGACACATTTGTAAGGACTTGTACCCATTTTGGTGACACGCTGAGTCCCATGAGTCCTGCTTTCTCCTCCCTTCCTTTCCTCTGGCAACCATTCATCTTGTCATTGTCCCTGTTTTGCCTTTTCTAGAGTGTCATAGCAAATGTAGATGTTTCATCACACTTTTCATGAATTTATTCACCCCGTGTGGCCTCACACAGAAGGCACTTTGTATGTATCCCAACTCTATATGTAGCTTTTCAAATGGGCACCTTTTCAAGAAAAAAAAGTTAACTATTGTTGTTTAAAATAAAATAATTTTTGATGTTCAGTACCATATCGCTAGAGCAATAGCACAGCGCGGTAGGGCGTTTGCCTTACAAGCAGCCAACATGGCCAACCTGAGTTCGATTCCTCCTCTTGGAGAGCCCGGCAAGCTACTGAGAGTGTCTCGCCTGCATGGCAGAGCCTGGCAAGCTACCCGTGACGTATTTGATATGCCAAACACAGTAACAACAAGTCTCATGATGGAGACGTAACTGGGCCTGCTCGAGCAAATTGATGAACAACGGGAGGACCGTGACCGTTCAGTACCGTACCTTACCACCTTCCAGTGACCATTGCTGTCCACCAATGTCCTTATGTTACTTCTAGTCTCTCTCTTCATTTCCCCCACTCCCTCTCCCCTAGCTTGGTGATCTCAGTTATGTGATCCAAGGACAAGCGTTTGTCATCACTCAATACTTTCTGTTTCCTTGTCTTGTTCTTGTGTGTGCAAATGAGTAACATCATTTGGCATTTCTCTTTCTCCTGCTGACTTACTTTGCTTAATATGATAATCTCCAGTTCCAACTTTTGAGAAAAGGTTTCATCATTTCTTACAGTTGCATAGTATTCTATCATTTTTAGATATGCCACAGCCGCTTTATTCAATCACCTATCATTGGACATTTGGGTTTTTCCTTCTGGTTATTGTACTAAGCAGTGTGATGAATATAAGTATACAAATATGTTTTAAACTAATGTTTTGTGTTTTAGGGGTAAATACCAAAAAGTAGACTCTCTAGGTCACATGGAAACTTGATTCTTATTTTGGAGGGAATGTTTTGGTTTTCTTTTTCATAGAGGCTGAATCAGATGATGTTTCCACCCATGATGAATGAGGGTCCTTTTCTCATCCCATACCCACCATCACTGGATGTTTCTAGTCTTTTTGATATGTGCCATTATCACTGGTGTGAGTTGATTGCTTTTTCTCATTTTTATTTGCATTTCCTTGGTGACAGTGGACCCTTTTCATATGTCTCCTTATTGTCCTTCAGAATGTCCTCTTCAGGCAGGGATTTTTTTTAGCAGCTCTTCCATTTTTGATGAGGTTGTTTGCTTGTTGTTGATCTCTGTGAAGGCCTCACAAATTGTGGGCATTAGCCCCATATGTGATGTATCGTGTGTAAATGTTTCTCTCCTATCTGGTATCTTTTCATTTTAGCTTGACTTTCTTTTTCATTTTTAAATCATTATCTTAAATTATTATGATTTTGTTTTGGGGTCACACTTCACAGTGTGGACCATATTGATGCTAGAGGGTGCAACCAGGATCAGCTGTGTGAAAGGCAAATGCCTTAACAACCCTGCTTTCTCTAGCCTTCCATGTAAACACTTTTTAGTTTGTAGTTCCATTTATTTTTGTTTTTGCAGCCTTTGCCACTGGAGTCATATCCTTGAATTCATGGGGCTGGAGAGATAGGACAATAGGTAAGGCCTTTACCCTATACATGGCCAACCGAAGTTCAATCCCTGATACCATCTATGGTCTCCCAACACCCACCAGGAGTGATCCTTGAGCCCCATGGACAGAGTGACCAATGAGCCATAAGCATCTCAAGAAGTAACCCCTGAGCTCAGAGCTAGGAGTCATCCCTGAACACAGAGCCTATAATCATCCCTAAGCCCAGAGCCAGGAGTAAACACTGAGCCACGAGTCATCCCTAAGCAGTGAACGAGGAATCATTCCTGAGCACAGCCAGGAGTGATCTCTGAGCAATGAGCCATGAGTAATTCCTGACTACCACTGGAAGTGACTCAAAAACAAACCAAAAAACTTACTGAACCAGGAGAGATAGTTTAAGAGATAGTTTAAGGTGATTGCCTCCTGTGTGGCTGAACCTGGGTTGATCTCCAACACCACAAGGTATCCTGAGTACCACCAGGAGTGAGGCCTGAACATTGAGGTGTGGCCCCCAAACCAAAAACAAACCAAACAAAAACCACCTTTAAGACCCATCTGAGGTTTGACCCTGGAGAGTTTCACCCACATTTTCCTCGATGTGTTTTGTAGTTCTTGTCACACAGCTTCTCTCGCTGAATCATGTTCCATATCTGGACGGACCTGTCTGTCATCTGTCACCTCTCAAAGGGCATCTTGGTTGCTTCTATGATTTGATGACCCATGCTGAATCCTGCAGATGTTTTTTTATGTAGTTTCAGGTGGACTCAGCTCTTCATTCCTTTGTATGAAGTCCAAGGATGGGGATTACTGCTAGATGGGAGAGGTTCACTTTTGTAAGTACCCCACACCATCTTCCCATGGGCTGTTGTCAGTGTCTTCATCGGGGCGGGGAGGGAGTGCTGTTGGTGATGGGAGGGCTTGTGAACATCTGTGCGTGTGCGGACACACACACACACACACACACACACACACACACACACAGTTTTCTGAGAAGTTATTTGAATGTTTTCTTCCCGCTTGTGACTTGTCAGGCTGCTAGCAGATGGGTTGCTATAAGTGTGCTGAAGTCTGGGGATGGCCCCAAAATTCCCCAGTCATTGTCCCCGCATCCTGTGACCAGCGGATGTGACTGTGTCAAGCAAGGGTGCTAGCTGAGAAGGGGAAGAATTGCCGAGACCACAGGGGCCCACAGTGAAGGAAGGAGAGATAGGGTGTGTGTGTGTGTGGGGGGGGGTAAATAGGAGGATAGGGCAAGCTGTGAAGGTGGTGATTCTGGCCCAGCAGGTAGTGAGGCAAGCCAGGAAGTCAGGTTGGAGATGCAGACAGTGCAGGTCCCAGGAGAGTGGAAGCCCTGCAGGGATCCATCTCAGGCCTTCAGCCCAGATCCCAGTTAATCTCCACTGAGTGTGTACACAGCTGTCCCTGCAGCCCCCAGCCCCTGGAGACCCGCCTCCCTGATGCTGGGCTAGAAGTGCTGCCCAACCTCTGAGTGGGACTCAGTGACCCTCCTGACCCTCGGCGGCCAGTTTCATGGCAAAGCTGAACATGTGAGCCTGTTAGGGCTCAAGCCTGTAGTTGGTGTTTGTGGTGACTTGATCCCAACAAGTCTCCCCCCTGCCAACCTCAAATGCATCCCACCCTCCTCATTGCCAGCAGAATAGGCTATGCTCAAGGCTCTGAGGCCAGAGAGAAGGGCGGGCTGGAGATGGCTCCCAAGGCCAGACCACACGGAGCCACTGGGTGTAGCCAGTGGCCCCGAGCACCACTGGGGAGACCCCCACCCCCGAAAAAAGGAGACTGAGGAGACTGTCCATTCCTGCTCACAGTAGAAGACCCTCCACATTCATAACTGCTCAGGCTCAGAGAGGCTCCACAGCCGCCAGCCTTGACACTCAAAATAAGTGGGAGATGGTGAATGGTCGTGGGGCTGAGAGTATGCTGCCACAGCCTGGAGACAGGACCCAGGGCTACCAGGACCCCTCAAACCACCAATGGCAGGAGGCAGGACCCACTTACCCCTGTACCATCTGCCCTCCAGAGAGAACCACACACAGAAGATGAGTCAGAACTAAAAAAAATATTTCATTTCATTCTGAATAAAAAACAGAACAGACTGAACGTTTGGGAACCCTGAAAACAATGTCATCTCTACAGCAAAATTTCACAGAAATCATCGCAGAGTGCCCAACCCCACACAGTGTAGGGGTGGGAGTGCGCCCAACCCCACCAAGAAGTGGCTCCTCCCAGCCAGTCTGGCCATGGGAACAGAGATGCAGATACGGTGGTGGCCATCGTGGTGTGGAGCCCACTGCAGTAGAGGGCCACCAAAGGGTCCTCCATCTTCAGGGCCCCTGGGTGTGTGGGCCTTTGCGGCTGTGCGCCCCCCACATGCCCCTCTTGGAGTGAAAGTGGTGGTAGAAGTGCCGTAGCCGTAGCCGTTCCACCTCCAGGCCTGCCTGCAGGACCCTGGGGAGCAGGAGGGCAGGGCAGGGGCTGAGTGGGAAGAAGACCCTGGGGAACAGGGCATCAGAGCAGGGTGGGGGGCAGGGGCCTGAGTGGGAGAAGTAAGGGGATCCTGGGCTGCAGAAGATTGGGGTCTGTCTCAGCTTACGGGACCCAGGAGCCACGGGACAGCCTTTTTGGCGTAGGGGTCCCAGGAAGTTCAACAGAGGACCATGGGAGATGCCATTAGGAGGGAATGGCCCCATTGGGGACCAGGGTCAGAAGGACTTGCCCCATTTCTGAAGGGCAGGTGTATTTACCTGTCCAGGAGTTCCCAGTCCTCACCACCCCATTGGTCCCGAAACTCCTCCGTGTTCATGCCCCCAACGCGGTCCAGATCTGATTTGTAGATTCCGAAGAGGCCAAAACCATTCACCTCCCAGTAACCTGGGGTGGGGTGGAGTGGGAGTGGGAGGCACCTCAGACATGGTCCCTGATATCAGAGAGGATGTGCAGGATATGTACTGGGTCCTGCCAGGAGCAGGTACTGGGTATTACCGTGTGGGTCCTGTGGTGAACTCCCACAGCCAAGGCGCATGACCACCGGAGCAAAGGCCAGTTTGCCTTCCACGCAGTGCTTGCGGATGCAGTCAAGGATGTTGGAGGGGAAGTGGATGTGCAGGTCACAGAGGAAGACGATGCTGCTGGCATCCTGGAAGTCCCAAGGTCTGAGTCCCGCCCTCTCCTCCTGCAGTACTCTTTCCTTGGCCGCCCTCCCCCCCCCCCCCGCCCCCGCCCTCACCTCCACCGCATCCACACCAGCTTGCAGCCCCGCAGAGCGCTCAAAGTTTCCGGATCGCCGGAGGTACTGGTACCTGAGGTGGGCAGGGCAGTCAAGGCACTCAGCCCTGCAGACAAGGACAGGACACCCATCTTTCCCTGGGAGGAGAGCGTCTCAGTCCCTCGGGCCGGGGTGGGCTTGCGGTTACCTGGGCAGCCGCGCGGCCTTCAGGGCCCGCTCCACGTCCATGTCTTCGCTCTCAAAGTCCACCAGGATGACGCTGAAGCGTGCATCCCTGGTGCGCGCGTGCAGGGCAGCCATGTCCGTCAGGAACTGCACCACCCAGCGCGCCTGGTTCTTCACTGCACAAGGTAGGGATGCGGGTGGTGAAGAGGCGGCTGCGACGCCCGCCCTGTGCGCTCCCGACCCGCCTTCCCGGGATCCGCGTCCCAGGCCCCACACACCTGGCACGATGAAATGCACCATCACGTCCTGGCGCCAGACCAGGCGCAGAGGCCTGCAGAGCTCCGGGCGGCCGTCGGGGCGCGTGGAGGAGGCGGGCACCGGCTCGGGGCTCTCGCCATCCTCGTCGTCCACGTCCCCCGTGCGCGCTCCCGGCAGGCGCAGGAAGACGTACTCCGACAGGCGCAGGCGGCCACTCCCGCGCTCCTGCAGCTCCAGCTCCAGCAGGAAGCGACTCCCGCGCGCGGAGTCTCTGCGCTTCTCCACGTTCACGATGCGCAGGAGCGAAAAGCGCCTGGAAGGTGGGGCCGGCATCAGTCTTCGGACCTCTCCCCCCGCACCCGGCACCCCCAGAAGGCCGGGCCGGGCGCTCGTTCCTGTGCGGTGGTGCCTGTCCGTGCTCAGAAGCCTTCAAGGGCTCCCACTGCTGCCCACAGCAGCCTCGCACGTCTCGGATCCTAATAGGCCACGCACTTGGCCCCCAGCACTCCCCCACCCTGCCTCCCCCTCAGCCTCTCAGCGCCACCCCCAAGCCCAAACCCTGCGCTCCCACTCAGGGTTCCTCTGCGCAGCCTCCCCCGCAGCGGTTAGTCTCTCACAGCCCCCCTTCCCCCGTGGGAACTCGGGGTTCAGACTTGGCCTCCCCCAGCCCCTCCCGACTCCGCCTCTCACAGCCCCACTCCACAGACTCCGCCTCTCACAGCCCCACTCCAGACTCCGCCCCTCACACACCCCCTTCATAGGCTCCGCCTCACAGCCCCACTCGACTCTGCCTCTCAGTTTCACTCCACAGACCCCACCTCTCAAAGCCCCAGACTCCGCCTCCCACAGCCCCACTCCAGACTCCGCCTCTCACAGCCCCACTCCATAGACCCCACCTCTCAAAGCCCCAGACTCCGCCTCCCCCAGCCCCACTCCATAGACCCCGCCTCTCAAAGCCCCAGACTCCGCCTCCCACAGCCCCACTCCAGACTCCGCCTCTCACAGCCCCACTCCACAGACTCCGCCTCTCACAGCCCCACTCCACAGACCCCACCTCTCAAAGCCCCAGACTCCGCCTCCCACAGCCCCACTCCTGACTCCGCCTCCCCCAGCCCCACTCCACAGACTCCGCCTCTCACAGCCCCACTCCACAGACCCCACCTCTCAAAGCCCCAGACTCCGCCTCCCACAGCCCCACTCCAGACTCCGCCTCTCACAGCCCCACTCCACAGACTCCGCCTCTCACAGCCCCACTCCTGACTCCGCCTCCCCCAGCCCCACTCCACAGACTCCGCCTCTCACAGCCCCACTCCACAGACCCCACCTCTCAAAGCCCCAGACTCCGCCTCCCACAGCCCCACTCCTGACTCCGCCTCCCCCAGCCCCACTCCACAGACTCCGCCTCTCACAGCCCCACTCCACAGACCCCACCTCTCAAAGCCCCAGACTCCGCCTCCCACAGCCCCACTCCAGACTCCGCCTCTCACAGCCCCACTCCACAGACTCCGCCTCTCACAGCCCCACTCCTGACTCCGCCTCCCCCAGCCCCACTCCACAGACTCCGCCTCCCCCAGCCCACTCCACAGACCCCACCTCTCAAAGCCCCAGACTCCGCCTCCCACAGCCCCACTCCAGACTCCGCCTCTCAGTCCCCCTCAACAGACTCCGCCCCCCAGCCCCACCCGACTCCGCCTCTCACAGCCCCACTCCACAGACCCCACCTCTCAAAGCCCTAGACTCCGCCTCCTCCAGCCCCACTCCACAGACTCCGCCTCCCCCAGCCCCACTTCATAGACCCCACCTCTCAAAGCCCCAGACTCCGCCTCTCACAGCCCCACTCCAGACTCCGCCTCTCAGTCCCCCTCAACAGACTCCGCCCCCCAGCCCCACCCGACTCCGCCTCTCACAGCCCCACTCCACAGACCCCACCTCTCAAAGCCCTAGACTCCGCCTCCTCCAGCCCCACTCCACAGACTCCGCCTCCCCCAGCCCCACTTCATAGACCCCACCTCTCAAAGCCCCAGACTCCGCCTCCCACACGCCCCTTCACAGGCTCCGCCTCTCAGTCCCACTCCAGACTTCACCGCAGTTTCAGTCCACAGGCTCCGCCTCTCACAGCCCTCACTGCCACGCCCCTCTGCCCCCCCCAAATCTCACTCCTCTCAGCCCACCCCTCCCCCCAGCGCCCACGGGTCCCCGCCTCTGCCCACATTCACCTGTCCCCTGCCAGCACAGCTCAGAACTCCGCAGGCCCCTCCCCACCACGATCCTGCCAACTGGGGGGCGACGGTGGGGGGGTGTCCACGCGCAGCTTCTGAAGCCAGACTGGGTCCCGGGAAGACCCGGCAGCGTCGCGGAGACCCGCCTCCAGCCACGTGTGGGGGTGAGTCTGGGGGCTCCCGGCCACGCTCAGGCCTTCCAAGGGGGTCAGTGGGGTTCCCCCCCGTGGGAACTCGGGGTTCGGCACCGCCCCGGCGCGAGGCGCTCGGGCTGACCGTAGCCTGCGTGCAGGGGCGGGGCGGGGAGGGCCCCGAGCAGCGGCGCGGCCAGTACCCGGGGTGGCGCACGTTGAGCCGCTCCATGTACTGGGCCACCACGTCCACCGCCTCGGCCTCGGGCAGCTGCAGGTTGCCGGACACGTTGCAGCGCAGGTCGTTCCAGTCCGAGCGCAGCAGCTCGAAGTCCAGCGCGCCCACGCTGAAGGTGCGCTGCCAGTCAATGGCCTCCTCGCGCCAGCGGCCACGCGCCGGCCCTGGCGCCGCCTCTTCCGCGCTGTCCTCCGCGGCCTCGCCGCCTTCTTCTTCCTCCTCCTCCTCCTCCTCCTCTTCCTCCCCCCCTGGCCGTGACACCTGCGACAGGCTCAGGAAGGAGGTCACGGGCTGCACCTTGGACGAGTTCACGGTGGCCGCAGTGGGCGGCAGGAGGCCAGCCCGGTGCCCGTGGGGGGTCGGTGCCCGGGGCCGGGGCCTGAGCTCCGGGGCTGGGGGGCGGCCAGTCCTGCGTCCCCGGGCCCCAGGTAGGCGTGGAGGTGCACGCAGGGGCACCCGGGGCAGGGGCCTAGGGCGCACGAAGACTCCAGGGAAGGGAGGCCAGGGCGGGCGCGGAGGAGGCGGGGCCTGGGGCCGGACCCGCGTCACGTACACCTTTGGGCTCCGGGGTCGTAGAGGGCGGCCCAGGAGGAGGGGCAGGGGCCGGGGGGCCCAGTTCAGCGCCCTGGAGCGCCGTGGGGCCTGCTCGGCCGGGAGGCTGGGGGACGCTGGAGGTGCGAAGGTGGCGTGGGCCTCCACAGGGGCAGCGGGGGCACTGGAAGAGCGGCTGCTCTGTGCGGGCGTCACCCCGGTGGGGTCCACACTGTCCAGCAGGTCGTGCTCATTCTCCTCTTCCAAGAAGTCTAAGGAGACACAGGTGAGGCTGCTGTCAGGGAGTGGGCAGTGCTGGGGTGGGGGCATGGAGTGCCGAAACTCACCATCTGGGCTGAGGAAGAGGAAGGCACGGCGCTGCACCTCTTCCTCTTCGTCCTCACCATCTGGCCGGTCCATCTTCATGTATTTGTAGAACCCAAACCTGGGGGTGGGGCGGGAGTTAGGGACCCTCAGAAGCCCTGCCCTGCACTGCTGCCCCCTGTGCCCACCTTTCCAGGTACAGAGGTGATTCCCGGTAGAAGCACTTGTTGTCAGTCTCCATATGCGTCAGGCGTGTGTGATCGTTGGGGTACACAAAGGACAGGTATACCTGGAGGGAGGGCAGAGGTGAGAGCCATGCCTGGCCAAGGGGGCCGACTGGGCTCTGGGTGAAGCTGGTCACTCACGAACTGCAGCCCCTGGTATCTGGCAATGGGGAAGTCCTTGACCACGTAGGTGGGCGCATAGGCACAGGGCTCCAACACGCTTTCCACACTGGCGGGCTCCACGCGGGGGGCTGCAGGAAGGGACTCAGACTGGCCCCAGTCCCCCAGACCTCTGCAACCGCACCCTCACACTAAAGGCTCATCCAGTGCACCCTACACCCCCGCGAGCCCCCTCACTGAGGAAGAAGGTGTCTCGGGGGTCTAGCCGCAGCATGTCGGCTCTGGGCTCCTCCTGTGGCTGATGCCCTGCCACGTGGCTGGCTGGAGACTGGGGAACATGGGCCACGTGATCCATCTTTAGAGCTGACTCATCTGGGGACAGAAGGAAAGTTGGGATTCAGAGGGTGCCGAGACCCCTCCTGACCCATACCTGAGAGCATCCCAAACAAACCCTCATCCCAGCCTCCCCGCTCCGGGGCTGCCAAGATGGCACCTGTGTAGAGAGAGAGGTGAGAGGAGCCGATGACCTCGAATTTCAGGCCGGGCAGGAAGGCTCGCCACTGCGGGTGGGGGGACAGCATGGTCAGGAGCTGGGCGGCAGAACACGGGGGCAAACCCTCCCAGGATGAACTGGAGGTGGTGCTCAAGAGGCCCCGAGAAGGGCCAGAGAGAGAGAAAGTGCAAGGGGGAAGGCGCCTGCCTTCCATCCCTGGCACCCAACAGGGTCCTGAGTCCCGTCAGGAGTGAACTCTGAGCACTGCTGGGTGTGACCCCCAACCCAAAAGACAGAGGTCCTAGAAACAGGAAGCAGAGAAGCAGGGGTCCCTGTAAGAGCCCTGTATTCCCCTGAAGACCTCCTGAGGCTCCTCCCTGCTGAGGGGCCTTCTGCCTAGCCCTGTCCTCCAGCTCTGCGGCCCTCAGGAACAGTCTCACCCCTCTGGTTGCGTCCTCAGTCCCCTTTGGCACCCATAAATCACCTATTTGCTGCTCCAGCCAGGACTCCACTAGATATGCGTGTACGCGCCTGCCTACACACACACACACACACACACACACAGCCAAGATCGTGAGCTGGGGTGAGAACCCCTCATACTCCCATCCTCAGGGTTAGGGCCAGCTCTCCCACCCCTGTCTGTCACCTCACCAGCTGGCTCTTGAGCCCCTCCCCTGTTATTGCTTGGTCCACCACATCTCCAGTCAGGCTAACACACATCTGTGCAGGGCTGGGACGCACAGGTCACACTGAGCTACTGGGGCATGGCAGGCCAGAGTGTGGCACACGGTGGCTATGTTCTCCCGCTTTTCTGCACCCCCCTCAGGACCTCCCCCACTCAGGGTTCATGGCCTTCAAGATGCTCCTGAGTCCCACAACAGACAGAGCAGAGAGGGGCCAGGTGCCAGGGCGCCTGCTTGTCCCCAGGGCTGTTCCTGTGGGAAGGTGGGGCGTGATGAAGTCTTGGACACTCCTGGGGAGGGCCGGCCACTCACCCCCACTTCCACATGGTCTGAGCCTCGGTCGTCCTGCTTATGTAGTAGTTCAAAGTAGTACCTCCGGGAGGCCATGAGCCTGGGGACATGGGGGTCAGGCAGCAGGTTCCCCCATGCACATGCTTTCAGACCCCCAACCCAAAGAGATGAACAGTCACAAGGAACTGGGCCCAGGCGGGACTCTCAAGGAAGGGTAGAGCAACGTGTGGAGGTTGGCAGCAGGTGGTGGGGGACGTTGGTGTGAGGGGTTAAGGGGTCCTGGAAGGTGGGTACTGGGTATGGTGGTGTGGGGTAGGAGGGTGAAGACATGGTACCCACTGCCTCACCCTATGGTCACTCACCGCTTGGGCTTGGACACCTGGGAGCTGAACTTGGTGAACTCCCCAGGAGCTGTCCACTCAGAGCCAGTCTGGAGGTGACAGAGAGGCCATGAGGGCTCAGCCTCCTTAAAAGCTGGAAGGGCCTATGAGTCATACCACAGGAGGCCCAGTGGGAATAGTGGGGTGTGACAGGCTGGGAGGTACCTTGCCTACAAAGGCCAATAGCTGGGCTCCTGCTGGGCTCTCATTTGGGCTCAGCCAGAATTCAGAGTTGTCATCTGAAGCCACAGAGAACTGGACATCTCCTAGGTCATAAGAGAGGGTTCAGGGGGAGTGGACCCCCCTCCCTGCCCCCTTCCCTGCCCCTCCCCGGCACACCTGACCCCACACCATCTCTCGCTGGGTGGATGAAGCCGAAAATGCGGAGTCCGTAGTTCTTCCACTTGGGGGACACGGCCAGCTTCTTCACGGTGGTTCGAGTCTGGGGCAGGGGGCAAGCTTTTCTGTCAAAGTCCACCACCCTGGCTCTCCCTCGTGCTGCCCCTCCATGCCCCACCCTCACCCACCCTGCCCAGCTGTGGGCACTCACGTGAGGGAAGAGCGGGAAGTGCAGGTTCCTCCGGAGGTGGCCCACGGCGCCCCCACACCAGTCCTCAAACACATGCAGGTTCACTTGCCCCTTGTACTGAGAAGCAGGAGCCTTCCCTTCAGCACAGCCCTGGCAGCCCCCTCCAGACCCATCCCAGCCAAGCCGAGCTCACCTCCTCCTGCCACGGAGGCACGTGCTGGGTGAGGTTCAGGTGTGGGGGCCTTCCAGCCCTCCCGGGCAGGAGCATGTTTGGGTCCTGACCTTCAGCCTACAAGAGAAAAGTTCACTGGGATACAGTCAAGACTTGGGGTGTGGGGCTCTGCACACTCCCACAAGGACCCCGGCTCAGGCCTCAGTTCTCCTGCCCAAGCTGATGCATGGGGTACACAGCTGAGAGGGTGTGTGCGCAGGCCAGCTGCATCCACTCTCTCAGGTCAGAGTCCTGCAATCTCCTGACTTTCTTACCGCCTGTTCCTCCTCGCGGCTCTCGCTGGAGTCCTCTGCTCTCTGTGTGGACCGTGCAGCCCGGATGCCCCGGCCCTCTGTCACTCCAGTTAGCTTCTCTCCATCTGTGGGAGACACATAGGCCGTGCTAAGGCTCAGACTTGATTGCTGCCAGAGGCACTACCTCTACCAGGCAGCAGGAGGCAAGATGGGCAGCGCACTGCCCAGGAAGGCTGCCTTCCTCCTGGTCCCTGGAGATTGCCAATAATAGCTATAGTGGCGAACGACTCCCATATGTCCACTCCTGAGACCCAGATCATCTCCCAGGTCCACTCCTGACCCAGGCCATATCCTCTGTCCACTTCTGACTCCAGGTCATATCCCACAGTCCACTCCTGATCCCCAGACAATATCCCACTGTCCACTCCTGACCCCAGGCCATATCCCGTAGTCCACTCTGATCCCAGGTCATCTCTCAATGTCCACTCCTGATCCCAGGCCATCTCCCACAGCTCTCTCCTCATACTCTGAAGCCTGCACCTGACTCTTGCCTAGATAGAACAGTCAAGAGTGTACATGCCAGTGTGTAAGTGCGTACATGTACTCCTGCATACATTCAGTTATGTGTGCATGCACAGGATCATGTACATGCCAGTGCATGTATAGTGTGCTTGTGCATGTACTTCCATGTACACTAGCATAAGTGAGTACACACACCCACATACATGCTAGTGTGCATGCACACACCACTATGCTTGTGGCCAGGCCATGGCTCACCCAGCAAAATCTGTGGTGCTGCGGGGTCCCAGACCAGCTGTACACAGGCACACAGTGCACACAGGCACCCATGGACATGTTATTTGTATGTGCATGCCCATGCACACACCAGTGTATGTGCCTGCACATTCAAGTACACTCCAGCACACATGAGAACACATCCATGCACATACGAGTGTGCACATACATCATGTATGCACATGTATAGGTGCTTGTACACCCATCTGGCCATTACCACCAGCGACTCTGCCTTCAGGAAGGCTTCCAGGACTGCTCTATACCTAGTGATTTGCCTGCCTGAAGACTGCAGTAGTATCTGGTGAAGCCTCCTTTACCAGAGCTTAGCATGACTGAACCCCTGTTGGAAGAGCCGCACTGCTGCCTATACAGTGTATTATGCACCTGCTCTGAGGTCAGGGCACAGCCTGGGCAGGAGCAGCAGGTGCACTGCTGAGGAGGAAGCCCAGAGGAAGGCTGTCCCCAGGAGACGGTCCCCCAACACTGTCCCATCTCCAGAGCTGGGAGAGTGGAAAACCCCTGGATGGGAGCAGGATACCTCTATGGCCTCAATGCCCTTATATTCCCGGTGAGCAGTGGGCTTGAACATCCCACCCTGCCACAGGAGGTCCCACACCCTAGAACCTGACCGTCTCTTACACCCCAACGTGATCTGTCTAGGATCCTTCCCAGCGACCCTCTGCTCTAAAGCACACCTGCATATGGGTACCTGAAGCCTAGGAGAGAGAGGCACGCAGATGTGGCAGCCTCATGCCCTTCTCTGCACGAGGGCAGTCATGGGAAGGGAGCTCCTGAGAGGCCCCAGCTAGAGGCCACAGCCTGCAAGGCCATGGCTCACCCAGCTAAATCTGTGATGCAGCGGGGTCCCAGAGCAGCCGGCCACTGTGCTGCAGCCCTGGCTCAGTGACCTCCATCCGCATGGCTGCTGGCGCCAGAAAGGAGGTTGCTGCCCCTTCAGTGCCGCGTCTCTGGTCAGAGGCAGCACCAGCCAGTGAGGAGAACCTTCGGCATGTTCAGTGGCTCCCCACAGCCCTACTCTGCTGGGGCTGGGGCCGGACACAGGGCCCAGGGGCAACCCCCCCACAGTGTGCTATCTGTGGGCTGAAACGTCCAGGGCATGGAACAGTGCCTGAACTCTGCAGCCCAAAGCAGAGGAACCCTGAGAAGGGGGTTCCCATGTCACCTCAGCTGCTGAGCTAGACTCCCTGCTGCTCAGGAAGTAGAGTGGGGAGGGTGGCGGTGGCTCAGGGACTGCAAATCAGCTGCAGAGATGGCGTCTGGGTTCTGTGTCACTGGGTCACACTCTAGGATCCTGCTCTAGGATTTACGAAGCGTACTGGGTCCTCTGCTCTAGGGGAATGTGGAGTGATCTGTTTCTAGGAAGTGAGCTATATGGGGGACCTCCTGGGGGGGCAGTGGGATGAGACCAACATTTGTATGAGGGTGTCCATGTCCTTGAAGCAGAAGCAGAGGAGCAGCACGGCAACCTGACCCTCACCCTCAGAACACCCCTTTCCAGATCTGGGTCCTGCTGAGTCCTGCCCTGAGGTACTTCCCCAGGGTTCTAACATTCCCTCCTGCCTGGTCACCAGTGCATTTCTGCTCTAGAAATGCTCTTCCCCAGAGGTCAGAGGCTCACTCCTCCAAGAAGCTCCCAGGTTCCTCAACTAGAGGGCAGGGCCCTCCTCTGGATCTCTCCCACAGGTCTGACAGGGTTTAAGGAGCTCGGTGGTTCTTGGCCTGTGGGTGCACGTGTGTAAAGTGTAGGGTTGGTAGGTGCGGGGTATGTGAGTGGAGGGTGTGTGGGTGCAGAGTCTGGGTATAGGCCATGTGGGTATAGGGTCTGTTGGTATAGGGTGAGTGGGTGTAGGGTCTGCTGGTGTAGGATGTGTGGATATAGGCTGAGTGGGTGCAGGGTCTATGGGTGTAGGGTGTGTGGGTGCAAGGTCTATGAGTATAGGCTGTGCAGGTATAGGGTCTGTTGGTGTAGGGTGGGAGGGTGCAGGGTCTTTGGTGTAGGTTATGTTGATAAAGGTTATGTGGGTGTAGGTTGTGTGGATACAGGGTATGTGAGTGCAGGGTCTCTAGGTGTAGGGCCCCTGGGTGCAGGGTCTGTGGGAATAGGCTCTATGGGTATAAGGTCTGTTAGTATAAGGTGTGTGGGTGTAGGGCGTGTGGGTTGGGATGTGTGGGCGCAGGGTGTGTGGGTGCAGGCGTGCGGTTGTAGGGTCTGTGGGTGAGGGTCCGTGTTGGTGTGGGTATAGGTCTGTGGATGCAGGATCCATGGGTGTAAGGATTTGCAGTGGGTGTGGGTGCAAGGTCCGCGCCGTGCCTGCACTCAGGCACTTGACAGTGGGTAGCGCATGGGGTCTGTTTCCATGCGCGCCCCCATCTCCCCACTCCCAAAACACAGGAAGCTTCCGGGAAGACCGGCGCTGGATCAGGTCAGCCCCCGCCCCCTCAAGCCGCCCAAAGCCGGACCCCTGCTCCTTCCCCGTTCCTTGGAGGCGAGCAGCCGAGGCACAGCTAGGTTTCGTCTCTAGGGCGCTCCAGGAGCAAGCGAGGCCTCGGCCAGAGACCCCCATCGGTCCCTCCAGCTTGGGGGCCGCTCCCGCGGGGGCGCGCGCGTCTGCGCTGACGTCATCTGGTGTGCGGGACTGACCCAAGCGTGCCCCCAGCCCCAGCCCGCCCGGCGCGCGCCCCCCGCCGTACCTCGGCCGTAGCCCAGCCGCTGGCGCAGCGCGCGGCCCTGGCGCACCAGGCTCAGGTGCACGTACGTGAGCCACGCGGCGCAGGTGAGCAGCAACAGCAGCAGCAGCAGCTTGATCTGTTTGCGGATCTTCTTCACCGGGAACCACGGCATCGCGGCGGGCCCGCCCCGCCCGGCCGCGCTCAGCGCCGCCGCTGCAGACCCCGGCTCCAGCGCGCCCCGCGCCGCGCCCCGCGGCCCCGCATGGCCCTTTGTCCGCCGCCCGCGGCCACACGCGGCGGCGGCGCCCCCAGGCTGCCCCCGGCGGCGGCCGGGGTGGGCGGCCGAGTGGCTCCCGGAGGCGCCCCCGCCCGGCCGCGCCCGGCCGCTGGGGCTCCGCGCTCCTGGGGGCCCGCGGCGGGACGCGCGGCATCCACGCTTCGGTGCTACCCACCGTGAAACGGTCCCGGCCGCGGCGCCAGCCAATCGGGACCCCCGCCAGCACGCGCGGGGCCAATCAGCGGCGGGGGGCGGGGCCGGAGGTTAGGATGTGCCGTCGCGCATCTCCACGCACCGCGCGCATCCACCTGGGCGCGGGGGCGCGGTCGTGCGCCGGGCTTGGAGAGCGGGGCGCGGGGGGCAGAGGGGACGCGCGGTGGGCCGAGGTGCTGGGACCGAGGAAGGGGGACTGGATGGGGAGGCTCAGCGATGGGGGCCGCTGTGCAGGGCCAGGAGCCTGGAGAGGGGAGGTGACGCCAGGGTTTTCTGAACGGAGACTGCGCGAGCCTCCGGTACGGTCTGGTGGAGACACAGGGAGCTGGGGATGGCCCTGGTCCTGGGTTGAGCCTCTGAGAAGCCACGGGGAACGGAGAGGGAAAGGACGTTGGGGAGAAACTGCCTGATGACTGGCCGGCCTGCGGGGCGCTCCTGGTGAAGGCGAGGAGAGTCTCAGGAGCGCATGGCTTGGTCCAAAGGCCCTTAGCTGCCGGGCTTGCTGCTGTGCCCTGGACGAAGCAGCAGTGGGCCAAGGTGGGGGACCCACCAGTGGCAATGAGAGAGGCTATGCGGGCAGAGGGAAGGACTGTCTGTGGGGGTGGGGTGGGAGCAGCGGCGCGCAGGTCAACTCTTAGTGTGCAGAGTGAATGGGCGTCCAAGGAGTGGTTGGACTGTGCCCTGGGAGTGTGTGGGTGAAGATGTGTTTGTTCATTTTGTCCCCGCGGTTTCACCATCTTGCCGGCTCCCCAGTGCCAGCCTCCTGCTCCCCTCCATCCTCTGTTTTTAAGTCCCGTTACTCTTATTTTATTTTATTTTTTGCTTTTTGGGTCACACTCGGCGATGCACAGGGGTTACTCCTGGCTCATGCACTCAGGAATCACTCCTCGCGGTGCTCAGGGGACCAGATGGGATACTGGGAATTGAACCCGGGTCCGCTGCATGCAAGGCAAACACCCTACCCGCTGTGCTATTGCTCCAGCCCCAAGTCCCGTTATTCTTAACGAGTAATCTCACACTTGAAGTGTTCTGTACTCTGGGATGTGGGGCTCAGGGTTTTACACAGTCTAGAAGATCCCTCTGCTCTGCCCCAACACGTCCCAAGCTTGGCGGGAGGGTAAGAATGATGTGGTTACTCTAGAGCTATTTGTGCTTTCCGTAGGTGTATGGAGGCTAAACACTGAGTTGAGTCTTCCCAGGGGAGGGTTTTCTGGGTACCAGCAAACAAACCAAAATCCTGGAGAGCCTTTACATACCAGGGCTGGGGTGGGGAGATGCGGCACCACTGCACCCCGCGGAAAACTGTCCACACAGTTGCAGTGATAATGGGGAGGAGACGTAATGTAGCCCTGGGGTGTAGTGTCAGTCCCCTTAGGCTGTCCCTTTTCTCTTGGGATCTACCCCATCCCAGGTACACGTCAGTGTCCTCCCTGCTCTGTCCATGGTCCACATCACGTCATGTGTACTCATAGAAATGCAGATACAATTGTGCGTGTTTCAGATGGGTCTGATGAGCACTATGCACAAGCTCACGTCACTTGTCTTTTCTCCAAATGATACCTGCCCAGGCCTACTTGCACACATTCTGCCAGTAGACACTTTCTCAGTGCCTCGACAAGCAGAGATCCCTGGGCCTAGTGCTTAGAAAGCTGCTTCTGAGGGCTGGAGTGATAGTACAATGGGTAGGGTGCTTGCTTTGCATGTGGCCATCCTGTGTTTGGTGGGAGGGCAGGATCCCTTTGATCCCCAGCATCCCATATGGTCCCCTGAGTACAGAGCCAGGAGTAACCTCTGAGGACCACTGGGTGTGACCCCAAAACAATAAAACGAACAAAAGGGAAAGCTGCTCCTGGTGAAGAGGTGGGACCCGACAGCTGTGCCACCTCTGTGTGCCTATTCCAGGTGTTGTACCAACCATATGCTGGACTCCATGTGCCAGAATTCACTGCCGGCTCCATGAGCTGATCCCATGTGCCTGTTTCGTGTATCTGTACTATGTGTACTATGTGTCAGACTTGCATGCTGGACACCATGTGGCTCTTTTATGCTCCTGGCCCATGTCGTATTTTGTGTTCCTGTCCCATGTGCCAACCCCACACATGCCTGTTCCATGTACAGGCTCCATGTGCCATATGCCTGTGCTGTGGACTGGGCCCCATGTGCCGTGTGCCTGAGCCACATGCTGGCTAAGTGCCTGTGCCATGTGCTGGGTTCTGTGTGCCATGTGCAGGGCTTCATGTGCCATGTGCCTGGCCGTGTGCTGGGCTCTGTGTGCTCACAACCTCCCTCCCTTGACCTGGACCAGTACAGGATGAGGGGCTTCTGCCCATCACTTGGCTCTTTGTCCTGTGTGATAGCCTGGGGGTCAGCACTTCACTGCCCTCTCCGGTCGGCCAAGGGGCAAGCACATGAGTTCAGTCACCATGAGGTAGCTGGGCTTCCTCAGTCTGCACTGAGGGTGCAGTCACCCCTCCGAAGTGCGTAGTCACACCACATGACCCTCACCAGCAGTGGCCACCATGCTGGCTGCAGCCATTAGCATCCACTTAGAGGAGACACCAGGTGGCCTGGGGCCTAGGAGTCTAGACCTTTCTGTGGGAGTTACTGTCTACTCTCAGGTGTTCATGTCTCACTACAGGTTAGCAGGGCCCCACCGTTCTGCTTATCAAATCCAGGGAATGTGGCTTCACTGATGTGAGGGACCTGAGTGGTGTCCTTGGAAGCAGGCCCAACCATGTGGCCTTTGTCCACGTGAAGGCCACACCTCTAGGTACAGAGGCCCAAAGCAGTATCAGCCTTTCCTGGGGGAAGCGGATTCTCCTGAGAGCCTTTACCTGCGAGTGGAGAAATGTTCTGTTTGGTGTGGCCGCCCGCACAGATGGGAGGGTCTGTGTCTGTAGCGTAGGGATGTTCTCCGCCTCTCTCTGCCTTGTGCTCAGGCCAAGAGGACAGGGTGATGGGTCGGGCTGGGGTTCTGCTGCCCACCTCCTCCAGGATGTGTGGCATTAGGCAGGCAAAGCAGGAGCCTCTGGCCCCGGCGGGTCCAAGTGCCCAGAGGACGCCTGAACCAGCTCCTGTAGAATCTGCTGTGCCAGCACCTGACTTGGGACTTCCCCACATCAGGCTTGAGGCCACAGATCTCTGTAGCTTGAGAAGTTCAGTCACGGCGGGGGCCTGGGCGCTGGCTCAGAAGGTAGGAGGGCGTGCCTGGCTTTCACCACCCCAGGATCCATCCCCAGGTCTGAACGGTCCCTAGCAAGCAAGAGAAAGGAAATTGGCCACGGAGTCGTGCGGTGTTTGTAGCCCGAGCTGACCAAGGCTTGCATGGTGGCCATTTTCTGCCAACAGCCTTCTGGCAGGGACAGTACTGCCTGCTGGCCTCTCTGCTCCTGACTCTTGCTGGCAGTTAGGTGCTGCGCTTTGACACCCACCTCGATGGCAGTCGCCCTGTCACTCCAGACCACACGAGGAGACCTGCAGGCCCTCGAGCACAAGGGAGGAAGGGAACAGGCACCCCAAGCATGCAGCATGACACAGCCAGACTGCGGCTGCCAGGAGACTGACTGACAGAGAGCTCAGAGTTGCACCCCAGCTCCCCTCGCCCCTAACATCTGTGCTGGCCCCATGAGCCTGCACCTGTGTCTGCTGCCTGCCTCCTTGCTTGTGAGGATGTGGTCCCGTCCTCACCTCTGGCCTACAAGCCACACTTCTGCGCTCCCTCCCTCCTGTCACACCGTCCTCACCTCACTCCATCTTCTGCCCTCCTCAGCCTTTCCCTTCCCAGGGTCCTGTGCTGGACACATGTGATGTGTTCTCTGCCTAACAATATGGCCCGGCAGGGACCCTGGGTGTCAGGAGGAGACACAGAGATAGACGCCATCATCACATCATAACAAAGACGAAAGTGAACTTTATGATGTGGCTATGGATGTTGATGTTGCCCTCGACCAGATCCTTTGGCAAAGCAGCATTTCCTGGCTTCCCTGCTGTGAGTGGCCCTTGGGAATAAGAACTCCAGTGCAGTCATTTTGCCTGAGCACTGGCTTCCCCATCTGGGACCTTGCTCGCTCTTTTATTTATTTATTTTAAATTTTTATTAGGGAAACACCATGAGACACAGTTCTAGACTTACAAATTTTTGTGCTTGGGTTTCAATTATATAATGATCGAGTACCCATCCCTTCACCAGTGCCCATTCTCCAGCACCACGGATCCCAGCATCCCTCTCACCCCCCTTCCCCCCATCCCACCCTGCCTCTGTGGCAGGCCATTCCCTTTTATTCTTTCTGTCCTTTTGGGTGCTGTGGTTTGCAAAAGAGGCATTGAGTGGCAATCATGTTCGGTCTATAGTCTCTCCCATCCTGGGAGGATCTTCCCAACACCCTTTATTTGGTGCTCCCTTCTCTATCTGAGCTGCCTTTTCCCCTAGCGTGTGCGGCTGGCTTCCAAACCATAGAGTAAACCTCCTGGTACTTATCTCGGCTATTCTTGTGTGTTAGTCTCCTATTTTATTTCTTTATGTTCCCCAGATGAATGCAATCTTTCTATGTCTGTCCCTCTTTCTGACTCATTTCGCTAAGCATGATACTTTCCATTTAGTACCACTTGTATGTAAATTTCATGACTTCATCTTTTCTAACAGCTACATAGTACTCCATTGTGTAGGTGTACCAAAGTTTCTTTAACCAGTCATCTGTTCTCAGGCACTCAGGTTTTTTCCATATTCTAGCTATTGTAAACGGCGCTGCAATGAACAAACAAGTGCAGGTGTCACTTTGACTATACTTTTTTGACTCTCCGGGATATGTTCCCAGGAGTGGTATTGCTGGGTCAAATGGGAGCTCAATTTCTAATTTTTTGAGAATCATCCATACTGTTTTCCAAAAGGGCTGAACCAGTTGGCATTCCCACCAGTGAAGCGCCAACACTGGTTGCTTTTGTTCTTTTAGATGTGGGCCAGTCTCTGTGGTGTG